GCACAGCTCAGCTGGAAAGTTATGTGGAGCAGGTGACTAAGGGGATAGCTTTCACTGCTTGGACTAAAGTCAGTTTTGAAGGAACTATAAAGATGCTGATTGAATTTTGGAGTGTGGGGAAGGGGTGTACATGCGTGTGTGGGGGTGGGTGGGTGTAAGGCAGAGAACTCTTCACACTTCAAATAGTTAAAGATAGGAGTGGTAAATTGAAGTCACATTTTTACACCTTCACAAGCTGAATAGGGAACATAGCCAAATGCAGCATCGATTGGTTAAAATTAGTCTATCACTCTCGGTTTCTGACGTTTTAAAGACATGTTAGAGATATTCATGAAGATGGCAAAGAGAAATTTAAAACCCACATCAGTTGCGCTAAAAATCAGCTGGAAACAGAAGGTTTTTAAGTTCTGGTGGTAGCAAACTGGCAGCCAAAGGAACAAGTCAACATATTTCCACGTCCCCCTGAACACAAATAGCCTGGAACCTTGGGAGGTTGTTCCTCTGAGATATTTCATCAGTGACATCACAGTGATTGCCACCTCCCTGGGACTACTTTAGGCCCAGCCCAAAGGGTAGGAGTCCAGACAGCCGGGGAGGTGAGCAGGAGTTGGAGCCAGAGTTGGGGAGAGAGAGGAGAAGCCTGCTGCAGCCCGGTGTGTGCTGAGCGCTCTCCAGGTAATTGCAGGACTTTCGTGCTTAGCGTAGAGTGCATGTGTGAACAAGTTGCAAAAGAGAAAGGCAGAGGAATGTGTACATTTCTTAATGTACTTGGTATTTCTTAAGATATCAAGTGACTGTTACTGATTTCTGTTATTTCTATCTCCTCGTGGTATGCACTTTCTCCCTTAGTATTAAAAATATTTTGTTTTGGTTTTTTTTGGTATCATAGGAAGACATCTATCCTCCGTCTTCTCAAAGTTTTCATTCAAGGAAACCCAATGTCAATCTTCCAGTACAATTTATTGAGAACTTTTCTGGTTTTTAGTTTATCCATTGGGATTCACTTTGGATCATATGGTGTAAACTTGACTTTAGGGAAGGTTTAAAATGAAGCCCAAAGCATCTTTGTGGGTTAACAGTAGAAAATGGAAGTTCACTGATCTGAATTTCTGCCTAGAATTTTGGTTCATTCTTTCTAAAGATTATAAATGTGTGTGTGAAAGTCAGGTCCACACCTTACAGTTAGCATATGTGCTGATTGAATTGAATGCCTTAGAAATTCTCATCTTTACTCTTCGTTTTATTTATTTAAAAACACATAAAATGACAAATATTTGTGGTCACCTTTAAAGTGCAAGAAATAGTGAGAGGCTACAACGGGGACCTTACCCAAGAAACGCACACATTGTGACCTAATTGTACCTTCATATCAATCTGAAATGAAAAAAGGTCCTTTATACCTGTATCAATTTTTAAAAAAGAAATAGTAAGAGGTAAACCACAGAAAAACAAGAAGTGTGATGGCAGCATGTCAATTCACAGATAACTAAAAAATGTGAAGAATGAATAAACTACATAGTTTGAACAATAACTATAAGGCGGGGTCGTTATAACTATACCGAGGTCAGTAGACAGATCATTGCCCGCACCCGGAAGTCCATTCCTGACCACCCCACCCCCTTCTGCTCTTCTGCCCAGGATATTTAAATTATCTGGCCCTTGCTTTTCTTCCTAGTTTTGCCATCTATCTATGTCTGCATTCCATATGGTAACGTTTCCTAGTTTTCATTTTGTATACGTGGAGTTATAGTCTGTTTCTTTTGTAAGTTCTTCCTTTTGTCAGGAATTATTTCTGTGAGATCTACCCACCTCGTTGGGTGCGTGTAGTTTACGTGTTTTCTTTGCTCTGTAATGCTCAAATGTACGAACACAGCATCAGCTGTCATCCCTGCTACTGTTGATGAGTATCTGAGTTGTTTCCTGTTTGGGCTTTTGTGAACATGTTGCCGTGAACTTGTTGGTATATGTATCCTGGCACCTGTGTACTTGAGTATCTTAGGGTAGAAGTGAAATTTCTAGATATTAAGAAAGAAGCATATTCAACCTTATTTTTAAAAACCCAAATTGTTTTCCAAAGTGTTTGAAAATGTATACCCACTCTCCATAGACAGTTAATAGTAGTAATAATTCATTCTTGTAATCTCTCCTGTAGAATGACTACAATTCCAGTTAACTAGTCCCAGTCTGCTGGTTCCAGCTCTGCCTCTGACTTGCCGTCACTACACAATTTAACCTCTCTCTAAAAGTCTATAATTTGGGGAAAGATAAAGGTCACAGTGACGCTTGCCTGAGTTTTTGTGAAGGTAACATGACTAGAGTTGTGGACCAGCTTTCAGTCCTATTTTGCTCATTTTCTAAGTTGATTCCTGTTGGACCACTATCCCTAATTCCCTTTATGTAAGAGCTTAATCTAATTAGTAGATTTAATAGGACTGTTTTGCCCCGCCCTGAATTGGATTGTCTTATTCATTATATACTGGGGCTTGTATTTTCTGCATATCTCTGCATTTCTTGACAACTTACCCAATTAAGTGGGCATTTGGACCAGTGCTTGGTTTCAGTGCTAAGCCCGTCTTGGATTCCCGCTCCTTTGCCTTGAGGCCCCCTGACTGGACTCATTGCCCTCCTGTTCCCCTCGGCCCTGGCACACCTTCACACACAGTATTTCTTTCTCCTTTATTCCTTTGTTTTCTTCTGCTTATTTTCTCCTCCAAGCAGATCTTCATGAGGATTTTCATTGGCAATTTACTATTTCCTTTATGCTGAGGCCCAAAAGATTGATGAACATTAAAAGGAAAATGAAGCATAAATCTGTCATTGTGGGCCTTATTTTAAACCAAGATTCAACAACTCCGTGATGGGCGCCATTTACTTTGAACTTGTTTGTAGTACCGACGATTACATAATATGAGAACTGGCTAGTCAGCTCAGGTTTATGCAATTAATAACTAGGTCTATGAATAATATAACCAATACAGTAATTACAACGAATAATTCAGTCAGGTTAGATGGCTAAAAATACCATTCAGGCCCCTTTCTTCTGCTTTCGGCCTCGTGGCCTCCCACCCTTAGCAAATAAAAAGACACTCTTACTCCCTAATCATTTTCACTTCATAGTAGACTTTTGTCCTAAGTATCTAAATACCTGATTATGTAAATTATCTAAAATATAGATGTCTTTAATGTCATTTAGATTGCATAAATGTCAATTATATCACATCACTGAAGATATAACTGAATTGACCGCACTGCTCTCCAAGTCTGGTCTCCTGCATCTACACGTACGCAGTATGCAGATACCATCCCCGCTGTTCAAAGTGTTTACAATCTAGGCACATCCTGGACCTGCCTAAAAATAGCTGGCACAAGCCTTGTTGAAATAGGAGTGCTCATGAGGTTAACACTTGCTCTTTGGAGTGAGCGCCTGTTATGTGAGGGGCTTTTGGGTAATCCCAGTAGGCTCTGTGCCCACGGCAGGACTTGTAGGAGGCCACACAGCTGTTAAAAGTACTTTGTGCTTTCACCAGGGTTAGATGAAGACCTACAGCAGCCTGGAACCTGAAAGATTATGGTATCCCTCTTCTATATGTAATTCAAAGCAAGACCAATACTTGCTAAACCGTAACATTTTTCTGTTCTGGCACCCCTGCTCGGGGATACTCTAAGTTAAATGAGTGAGCACCTGCACAGACACACACACGCACAGAGACACACAGAGACAGAGAGACACAGAGACACACACAGACACACAAACAGAAACATACACAGAGACACACACAGACACACAAACAGAAACATACACAGAGACACACACAGACACACACAGACACACACACAGACACATAGACACACACGCACACAGACACACAGAGACAGAGAGACACACAGACAGACACAGACACACAGACACACACACACGCACACAGACACACAGAGACAGAGAGACACACAGACAGACACAGACACACAGACACACACACACGCACACAGACACACAGAGACTGAGAGACACACAGACACACACAGACACACAGACAGATACACAGACACACACAGAAACACACACAGACACACACACACAAACAGACACATAGACACACACACAGAAGTTAGAGAGAGAGAAAAAGGTAATAGTTTGTAATTGATCAAAACCACAAATATAATAATCACAGAAAAAAAGCAGGACAGAAATGTTAGTCTTTATGAAATTAGTCGGAGAAGTCAGGATTTCCGTATTTGTCAAGATTCTGTAGAGAAACAGAGAGGGAAGAAGAGAGAGAGTGGGCAGCACTTGTGGCTCAAACGAGTAGGGCGCCAGCCCCATGTACTGGAGGTGGCAGGTTCAATCCCAGCCCTGGCCAAAAACTACAAAAAAAAAGAAGAAGAGAGAGAGAAAGGGAGGGGGAGAAAAAAGGGGAAGGGGGAGAGAGAGAGAGAAATAGAGAGATTGAGATTTAAGGAATGTCCAGAACCGTGGGTAGGCTGGCTGGCTGGGAGACTCAGGAAAGTTGCTGTCTAGGGCAGAGACAGTCAGGAGGCCAGGAGGCCCAGGTCACGTGTTGGCAGGGTGGCTTCTTCTGGCCTCTCTCCTTGGCTTGTAGGCGGTTCTTCTCCCTGAGTTGTCACGCGGTTTTTCCTTTGTGTGTGCCTCTGTCCTCCTCCTAGAGGACACCAGTCGTGTTGGATTAAGGCCCACCCTAACGATCCCATTTTAACTCAGTTACCTCTTGAAATAGCCTGTCTCCACGTGCTGTCACATTCTAAGGTGCTGGGAGTCAGGGCTCTGACATGTAGATTTTGAGGGGACTCCGTTTAGCCCATAATACTCTTCTTTTCCATAGCGTTTCTATTTTTTGAGGAAAGAATGAACTTCGTCTTATAGGAATGCTCAGTAATCGCTCCATGTTTTCTCTGTGACTTTCTGCTAGGAGGTGAGGACAAGCCGGAGTCTCGGGGTGCCCTGCGAAGTCTGCTGCAGCTCTCAGCCAGCCGCTCTGAGAATGGAGTGGTCTTCCCGGGAGCTGTTCATCAACTTCACCATTGTCCTGGTCACGGTTGTGCTCATGTGGCTTCTCGTGAGGTCCTACCAGTACTGAGAGGCCATGCTGTGACCCTGGGATAGACAGAGACACTCTGGAGCTGCCTGCTCTGTGGCCTGAGGCCCCACTGCCATCACTGCCATGGGATGTGCTCTCGGCCCCTCGAGGCACCTCTGGCCGCACTCACAGTGTCTGGTGTGCCCCCTGCTAGGATCGATTGTGTGTTCTCTGAAGATGCCACTCTTAAGG